TGTCGAATGTATATGAATATATGTAACACTCTGTAATCACGATTGCCCAAGCCTGAGCAGTTAGCCAGGGTGGTAAATAAACTTGCTTAATTTAACTTAACTTATGGGCTGATGCACCAGAATTCAAAACCTATGGGAACCCAACCCACCTTTCCGCAAAACTCTAAGGGAATTCACACATGTATTGACCAATAAACCAGCCTTATATATCAATTTTAAGTTGCCATGACTAGCCATGCCTGCAAGGGGACGGTTGATGCGGGGCTATGCCCCCCAACACCCCCCAAGACACATTCTCTTCACCTCGGTATGTACGGCAGGATAGAGCTGCATTCACACCATAAAATAACAAACAAAATACCTTTGTATCTGGAAACGCAAAACTTTTGTTGCTTCTTTGTACCATCTGGATTGCTTTGATTTTGATAACTTTTTTTGTCATTTGGAGCTCTTGATGAGGCCAGATATTAAACTGGAATGGTTACTAAAGTCTAATTATTCCTCGTTGCCACAGTATAAATCTTAGAAATAACCCAGAAACAATACAACACTGGAAAAGCAACAATACCCACTGGCGTTCTACCTCAAACTGAGTGTGCCCTGAGCTGTCGACCTGTGGCTGCTACAAGAAAGTGTAAAACACTCGATGCATACGATTCTAAATAAGGGTATAGATAAAACTTAAAATACATAAATGAAGTATGAGACATTAATAAAAGACTTTAAAACGCATAGTAACACACAAACTATGTTCTGTCCCACATTATTTCTTCCACTCTATAAGATGCGGTGTCCATTTCCCTCTGCCCACACGCGATGGTGTCTTCAGTTTATACCACCACACCTAGCAACAAGCACTTGGTGAAAGCAAACCCTTGTCCATTCAGAAAATTACTGTGCATGCTTCTTTGGCATGGAAATGCTGAATTGTGTTGCCATTGGTTGTTCAAACCATAATATGAGTGGGAAAGAAAGGTCTAACCTTTCACATATTCCCAGATCGAGAGACTTGAAAAATGGAAGCGTTAGATTGACAGTGTAAATACTGATGGGTGTGCTTGGGCACCTATTGGAAAATATATTTACATCTGCTCAGAACATTTTATGGAAGGTAAGAGTTTAATTAATTCATATATATTAATTTATTACATGTCTTCTTTTTCTAATGTAAATATATTTTCCACCAGGCGCCCAAGTGTTCCATGACCTGAAGCCTTCGCTTCCATTTTTCTTCTCGCAATCTGGTAATATGTGAAAGGTTAGACCTTTCTTTCCCATCATATTGTGGTTTGAACAACCAAAGGCTACATAGCTCCTGTTGACTGTATAAGGTGCCTGGTGTGTGGCATGATACGGGATGGGTAAAAGCTGTCATCATTAAATTAAATTGATGGGTGAATGATATATTTATTATTGATATATATGTAAACTGCATGCTGTAAATCCAGTGTTTTCATATCATACCTCACAGACCTTCTAACCTCTTTGGAGCCAGAGCTTGTCCGTAAAACTCATAGACATTAAAGGTGAGGTTCAACTGGCCTTGTCCTCATCTGAGGCCTGATTTGTGTTCAAGTGGCCAACCAGGCTTAGTGTTTCAACTGCAAAAAGCACCACACCAGACCACACATGCCTCTCACTTGAGTAATACTGTGCATAGTACTTCTCATTTGAACAACATGAAGCATAAGGATGTGTTTCATGATTTCACCATAGTTTTGTGTTTCATGTTATATATGGGTGACACTATGGAAATATAGAAAGTCGCAAGTGTTTCAATAAGCTTGTGAAGGAGTTGGAATTGTAGGACAGCCGCAGTTTCTACAAAGTTCACAGGATGAACAGGGATTTTTTTTTTTTTTTTGAGTTGGTGAATCTTGTGAGGCCTCAGAAAAAAGATACTGAAATGTGGATGCTTTATGTTCAACAGCAATTCTCTCTCACTTTTTCCACTGCACCACAAAATGCTTTACATGTTCGGATCTGATTTAAGATTTGTGCAAGTTTTATGGGCCATCAACTTGTTTTATCATGTTTCAGATTGAGGATTTTGTTTATTTGCTTTTGGCGGTTGAACCGCACCTTAAGACACTTGCCTTCAAGATCTACCATGCAAATTAGCACTTTATATATGGAATGGATTTGGTGGAAAAGCATAATCAACCAGCCTGTTGTTATTGTAATTATTGTAATTATTATTAAGATTATTTTTATAGTTCAGGTTATTGCTAGTGTTGGTATGGATTTTTATATATATATATTGGTTATTGTTAGTGTTGGTCTGGATTTCTATATATATCTAAATAAAATTATTATTATTACACTTATTGTTGTTTTTATTGTAGACGATGTTTTCATTTTTTTTTTTTTTTTTTTTTTTTTTTCATCATCATCATCATGCTTCAATCATCATTATTATTATGATAATGGTAGTGATTGTTATGATAATGATGTTAAAGATTAAAATAATAGTATAGCAATAAAGAATGTTGACAGTGCATGTATGCAGCCCTTATAATATTAGCAGGTTAAGTAGTAGCATGTGATATGGTGTGTTGTTATTTGTTATCATTATTATTATTATTTTATTTTTTATCGTTATTATTGTTTTATCTTTTTATTATTATTGTTGTTTTATCTTTTTATTATTATTTTATTATTATTATTATTATTTTATTCATTGTTTCTTCTAAATCACAGTAATATTCCTTTCTTCTTTCAGGAAACCCTTGATTACCTGCCATGGAAAAGCCAGAGAAGCCCGAAGCCCCCAAGGCATTGGCCATGGTGTATGTGTGTGGAGGTTGGTGTTCCCTTTTTTATTATTATTATTATTATTATTATGTGTATTCTTTAATTTTGCTGGCTATTATTATGCTTTCTAATATTATTATTATTGCCTTCAGAATGCCATGCTGAGAATGAGATGAGACCTCGTGACCCAGTAAGATGCAGGAGCTGTGGCTACCGCATCCTCTACAAGCGACGGACAAATCGTCTAATTGTGTTTGATGCTCGATAATTTTTCACCAAACATCTTGCTAGCTTAGGCCTTAAGATTGAACCAATAGGGAATATAGTGTTCGTAAAAACTTGAAAGAGTTAATAAATCACAAAATACATGCATATGTTTTTATTGCCGTGGATATAATACTGATACTCATGTAAAATGACATCATATAATCAGGAACTGATAAAAGGTTGGAGATTTTTTCTTTAAAAAATAAAGAGGAGGAGGAGGAGGGAGAACAAAAGGGAGGTAGAGGCGGAATAAGAGAGGGAAGGAAGAAATGGAGAAAGGCATAAGAATTAGAGAGAATGAAAGGAAGAAAGAATTTTCTCATTCCCTACAAGGTCATTTTCTATACATAGAGAGATCTACAAGTTTCAAGTATGAAACTTCAAAAGAAAGAAAAAAATTGTAATGACTTCATAAAATGGAACTTTTTTTTAGCAAAACATGTTATTTATTATCCCAATTTTTATCTATCTTGTGCAAATCATTAATTATATAGATTATTAATTATAGCAAAAATATGCATTGGATTACCATTATTATCAAACCAACAAAATAATAATGACTGCCTAAATATCAGGTATGAATAGTGTGCTATTAAAATATGAACCTCTTTATGAGTACACAAATATGACTAAAGTCACTCAAATAACTTGGCTAAAAAAGACATAGATAAAGATAAATATTTAAATGGATTAATCTACCAGTATGAAAAAAAATACATTAGCATGTTATCAAGCAAATATTCTATATGCTGATATCAAACCCACAAATCAATTAACCCATGTCGAAGGGAAAATGGTGCATTCCCTTTGGCAATGCTTGGTTAAATGTTTCTACACATAGATGGCTCTGCCAATGCTTAGCCACAAAGGAGTCAATTAGTAGATCTTGCGACCTAACTTTTCCTTGAAAAAGGGGGGAAACGCTTTTTTAAATAATGCTATCAATATTGACATTGTTATTTTTGTTATAAACATTACAATTACTATATTGTTACTGACATTACTAACAGCAATATTAGATATTAGAAAATATTGAAAATCAAGGAAAAGGATAAACAGGTTAGGTAAGTAGTTCGCGTAATTGGCTCATTGGTGACAGTACTTGTGGAGTCATCTATATTTAAAAACAATTACTAAATTCAACACACACAATGGGCAATGGCATGTACGTACATACCATGTCCGGCGGCTCGGGGTTAACAATGAAAACTGAACTTGAAATACCAACAATAAATTAGCAAAAGATAATAAGTTACAGCAGAATTATCATTATTAGTAATACTGAATGTAAGTATGTATAAGTAGGTAGGTGGGTGCGTATATGTAAGTATGCATATGTATGTATGTATGTATATGTAGTGTGTGTGTGTGTGTGTGTGTGTGTGTGTGTGTGTGTGTGTGTGTGTGTGGTGTGTGTGTGTGTGTGTGTGTGTGTGTGTGTGTGTGTGTGTGTGTGTGTGTGTGTGTGTGTGTGTACGTGTGTGTGTGTGTGTGTGTGTGTGTGTGTTGTGTGTGTGTCTGTTTGTTTCAGCAAAAGTTAATAAAATTAATACATTGTAAATATACACTTAAAATGATATAACATGCATTTTTATTTCACACAGTAACATTTTTTTTTTTTTTTTTTTTTTTTTTTTTGTTAAAATAAATGACAGGACCATTGACATGTGTCGCTTTTGTAATATAGATGACCTACAAATAGAATAAAAATTCCTTTAAAACTTGTATGATTGGATCTTTGTAGAATGTCTATGGAAGCTAGTTAGCTCCTAGTTGCACACTCCTTTTAGTGGGTCGTGTGTCTCAATGGTTAGAGCGTCCGTCTTGCAGTTACCTGCCCGCAATGGGGCGAGGGTTCAAATCCCGACTGGAGAGGTTATTTATTCATCTCTGAACCTGTATGAATGTTACTTTTTATCATACATTTTTACATTTAAAAGAAAATCTGAGGAATCATATGTTACAATAAACAGTATGAATAGAAATAAATTGCTTTATTTATGAATGTTAATTTAAAAATCATATCTATGTATAATTTTGTATATGAGACTGAATTGATTTTACAGACAGTAGTTTTATAATTTTCCTAAAACAAATCATTGCAACTAAATGCGTAATACATATATCCAAAAGAAAAAATATAGAAAAAAAGTTTTTACTGCTATTAATACTATTACTCTGATACCTTTGCCATAAACATTAGCATCTTTAGAAGATAGCTTTTTTATATTTTACAAATATCTTTAACCCTTTTCATAGAATATCAGTGAAATAATATTCAAACTGCAAATTGCAACAATTTTTCTCACCTGCCACCACAAACATCACAAATAAATCACAGACAATTAAAAACAAAAATGTGATAATGAATCCATGAGGAAAAGTAAATATTAAAAACTATTTAACTTTGTTTCATATGTTCTATGTATGTCATAACTGTCATATAAATACATATACATAAATATGTAAATCATACACTATAATCTCATCACAATTTGTTCCTTCCATGATATACACTTAAATGTATCACTAAACATATTCCTTATGCACACTTTTATCATTCTATTTATTAATAATTTTTAATATCTAAATAGGCACTCAAAGTAAATTCTATAAATCAAATCTAGTATATTCCCTAAAATGACGAACAAGTAATCAAACCAATGTTACTAATATGAAGTTTCAGTTATTTCACATGAATAAGAATAAATAAGGCATAAAAATTAAAAATCATTTTCATCTCAACCTTCCAAGGTATTGTGACCTTACAAAATTTAATTTAATCTTGTTTTAAAATTTAGTAACGTTTTTGTAGTGCCTTTGCAAAAAGCTCAATTCTGTACAGCAAAGTGATAATTTTCCTACAAGCCATTTCAATATCTAATAATTAGGATAATATAAAAATGAATAACACCTTACACATGGTAAACATTGTTATAATAAAGTTTTAATCATGTCTATATCCCAGTCAAACCAAAAAATAATTTCCTCTTCACAATTGTCATTCTGCTATCCATATGAAGAAGTAAATACATCATTTGCACAAGTGAGGCAAATGAAAGTTTTTACAAACTCTTAAGGAAGAAAGGTTCTTATTAAAAAGTATGAAAATCAATAAGCTATTGAAGCATCTAAAAGCTGTGTGTGTTGCCTATGGGAACCAGCACACTTTTTGTTTGTTTTTGTTTTTGTTTTTTTGTTTATAGAACTATGTAAACATTTTCTTCCCAGTAACCTGTACTGCTTCCTAATGAAAGGTAATGAAAATAAACCTTTAAGATATTCAGTGATAAAAAGATCATAAGTGTGCTCCCACAAAGGCCCATTTTCTTCCAGCCTGTAACGACAACAGAAAACAAAGTGGGATGTGGAAGATACCTAAAGCGTAACTTCAGACAACTATTTCAGAAGCAATGCACTAAGTTTTTTTTTCTGAATAACTCAATAGGGAAGTATCAATATTAGATAATATTCTTCAGATTTTGGGGGTTATAGTAACAACTTTAAAGAATACACAAAGGATGCCAAAAATGAAAAAATAAAATTAAAAAATCAGATTCACCTAAAATTACATTTCCCCCAAAGATTATGTTGGCGGTCCCCTTCAGTACAATGCAGTCACAGGTGTGTATTTACCAAAATTAACTTAATATTTCAAAGCTAGATTTTCCGTCTTCAAAAAATGAATTTGTAAGAGATCACCTACTGTTATCACTAAACCCATATTGTTAACACACTGGTATTTTCACTCATTACTTGTGAACCAGTTTATATTTGCTGTGTTGCTTATATAATTTTACTATTTAATCAATATTAAAAGACATTTTCCCTGAGTATCTGGCAGGACAAAATTACTTTCAGGGAATTTAAAAATAATTTTGTATCTTTAAATAAAAAGAAAGAAGAAGAAAAGAAAAAGAAAAAAGGATTGATACCCTGCAAAAGTAACCTAGTAATTGAATTAAGTTAAATCAGGCAAATCTACAGACTGCATTTTTTTAAAAGTATAAAGATATATACTTTTTGTGACTACTTGGAATCTGGAAATTATGTGTTAAACACTGGTGTAGAGATCCTTACGTAGTGATATACTAGTGAACATGAAACATCTGATCCAAAGAAAAGACACCCACACACACGCATGCACACACGCACACCCACACCCATACCCACACACACTCACACTCACTCACTCACTCTCTCACAATACATATAAATGTAAATATGACATTTCAGAACACTTAAAATGCAACTGTCCTTTGGGCCCATTTCAGGGAATAAAAATATATATAATTCTTTGAATAATTACAAAATAAAAATAAAAAATCTTGACTTTCAATTATAATTACAAAATGCAATTAAAAAGGTGCAAATTAGCACAAATTGCAGTCCTTTGAAATAGCATGAAAGTATGGCAATCTTGATTATATACATCAAGTAATCTTCGCAAAGATTTTCTAAAACACTCTTTAAATAATCATACTGAAAAAAATGTCTTACACACTTCTAGAAGCAAAATATCATAAAAGGCAATACACAGTGCGAATACACCTATATACACATATATACTTGTATCTCAATATTCCCATCCAATCCATACTTTCCAATGAGAGAGAGAAAAAAATTACTCTTCCTTTCTATGCTAACTGATAAGCTTCATTAAAGCTGAAACACAACCAGGATTTCTATCTATTTCTTCACAGCCATCTTCCTATTTCCCATCAAAATGGCGAAGACAATTGAGGCAATTTTCTCATAGCAAACAAACATGAGAGCAGCAGTGAGCACCGTCTGCAGGATCTTTGCCTCCAGCCCTTTGAACAATCCCTTGAAACCATGGACCCTGCGGAGAAATTGAAGGAGGAAATTGTTTATTTTTCAGTGGATTCAAACATTGTAAATTAGCAATATATGGGTGATTTTTTCACAATCAAGCATATATGCAAGCCCACACCCACACCTACACACACATATTCATATCAATCTCTTAAACCGTAGCCTCACCTCATAATGTATAGCAAGAGTGGAATCAGTCCAGCCTTCTGTGGCAATCCTTCATAGTTGTGCCCGTGCTGTTGGAAATAAATATTTTGTCAGATATTCAGTAACTCAAATCAAATATATTCAAAAATACCCCCAAGCCAATGCTACTTTTAAGGACTCATACTCTGATACTTATGAAGAATGTAACAATGACATATACTGATGGATGCTGACACAAAACACACACAAACACTTCCTTTTTGCTTCATCAAGTTTTGTTTCAAATTACCTATCTCAATAATACACTTCTGAAAATCCTGTGTCTAAGACAAGAAGAAGCTTCTGAAAAATTTAATTCTCTAAAACCATTGTATACATTGCCAATCATAAAACAAATTTACAATATCAGCAATCTCAAAACACATCTCATTATATTAAAGTATATTAAAACCATAATATACTTCATTAACCTCAAAACCATAAAAATCCCATAAAAGTACAATTCTATGAGCTCCCTATTAGACTTCTAATCTATACTGCTGTTCTTTTTCTTACAAAATATTTCATTAAAAAAAACAAAAAAACATAAAGGTCATATTAAAAATTTCAAAAATAAAATGCATGCTCCTAAAAGTACCTTGTTCATAAAACCTTAGTATTCTGCAAATTATGTGAATCTTTTGTATTTTCCTTTATATGCAGCCTACAGGCACAACATATGAAAAGTACATTTCTCTAAAATTAAAATATATTTTTTAAGAATCTCAAAAACATGCTTCTAAAGACTATCTATATATAAACTATATATCCACCCTTTATTTCCACCTTTTGGGGTCCCTCATGGCAAGCCACCAGGCAGGGACTCGGCCCATCTCGAGCTCCTCATGACAGGTTTGATCGATCTACCCAAGCCACAGCCTCCTAGTTCATCCCACAGGCCTCCCCCACCCAGGGTTGTCTCTTGCTGCCAGGTCAATCCGTCTGCAGACTTCTTGGTCTGACAGCCCTCAGTTATGAAGTACACTACCTAGGTATGTAAAGCTCTCTGTGACTTCAATGTCCTTGCTGAAAGCACGTACTGACCAAAAAGGTTCTCCTAGCAAGTCCCTAAAGTTCTGGATCTTGGTCTTGGTCCAGGAGACCTCTAGACCCAAGGGCTTCGCCTCATTGCTAAATGCATCCAGAGCCACCACTAAGGTTTCCAAAGACTCAGATAGAATAGCAACATCACTGGTAAAGTCAAGGTCTGAAACCTTAATATTGCCCAGTGGTGCTCCACAATGGCTTTGGACAGTTGCTCTGCCCAGTATCCAGTCCATGCAAGTATTGAAAAGTGTTGGTGCAAGGACACAGTCTTGCTTCACTCCTGAACTAACAGGAAAGAAGCTCGACAAGCCCCCACTACACTTTACAGCACTTTCAGTACCAGTATACAGACTTGCTATTAGTCCAATAATCCTTGTTGGAATTCCTCTATTTCAACACCTTCAATTATATATTTCTAAGAACTTCACTTTTCTTAAAACTATAGTGAAGAATAATTTCAAAAGCAAATTTTTGGGCCTTGGTTCTCTAAATCCAAAAGTGATTTTACAATTCTAAATAATTTCTAATTCTTAAAAACCCAAAAATATTTTAAAATATATTCCTGAAAAAGTTTTAAATCAACATATATTTAAAAAATCTATGATCTCCCTCATACCCTTTGTTTAGCCTGGACCAGCTGTATGGGGTAGGTAAGGACTGTTGCTAATGCCTTGGCCGCAGCCCCCACACCAAAGACCACCAGTGAATTGAGCTCCTGCGACTTGTACATGGTCTGCATTTGCCTCTTCATGGCTTCGTATGCCATGAACTGAATTGCTGGGTTGATCGTGAGGATGAGGGACGAACAAGCCCCAGACCAAAGGCCAGACACACCTTCTTCACGTCCTACTCGTAAAAGACCATCTGTGGAATAAAATATCCAATGAAAACAATCTTGTCACAGCATGATGTGTGAGAAAAACACTCATAATTTGTCTTGGATTTTTCCTATTTTGATTATTTTGATTCTCACATTCACTATAAGGGATGATATAGGCATGTCACTCACCTAACATGCCCTTGTATCTTCTCGTAGCTGTGTGTTGGCTGGTAATCACTTTCGCACCCTGCATCTTCAACCTTGTATTCACAACCCATAAGGGATTGGTTGTCATGACATTAACTGAACCTTAAAGGAAAAAATGAGAAAAATTTATACATATATGGATAGATGATCATGGCATTAAGTGAGCATGAACAGAAAGGAAAAAATAAAACTAAATGGGAAAAAAAACAAAAAAAACATGAACATACATATTGATATGATGATGTGCTTATGTCAATATATAAACATGATTATTCAGGACATTTATATACTATAAGGAAAGAAAGGGTAAGATGTTATCCCTGTATTCAAACCAAATATAAACAAATAATTGAAGAATACATTTACCTGCTACCATAGCTAAGAGGAGATCTCTTAATGCTGACTTGTCTTCATTGGCAATTCTCTTGAGGCCATGGAATGTGTAAAAGTACACAAAATTGGAGCAATATAACGACTCAATCACAGGAAGTAGCCCTCGGTACAACCCAGCTCTGTTGTGGAGAAAATTATGCTCATAAAATTTAAATAATTAGAAATATATTACAATCAGCATTGTCATCACTAGCATCATTACTGCTATCACTATCATTAACATTTATCATCCTCATCATTTTCATTGTTACTGTCAAAACAACATCGCACCTGGATATTTTTGCACAAGCTTAAAAGGCACAAAACCATATTTAATGTACTCCAATAAAAAGAGGATCTAATAACTGATTCCTTATATAAAATTAATTTTTCTTTCTCTTCTAATTATTTTGTAATTTGCAGAAATGAAGATACTTACAAGCCTTCCTCTTTGTAAATCTCTCGTAAAAGAGAGAGTATGCTGCTCTTTCTCCGACCTTCCTCTACTGCAAAATATAGATTAGAAATTCTATAAGCACCAAAAAAACATATACAATGTTGATCTAGTATGCATCTATAATGATGCATAAAATTTATAGGTGTTACATCACATTTTTCTTCAAAAAGAAATGTAAAAGGTAATAAAAGTTGCAATATTGTATGTTCACCTATAAATAACTTTCAAAACATTTATCAAAAATGTATAGTCCCTCCATCAAAAATATTGGAATATCAAGAGACATTCTTCCAAGTTTCAATCCAAACTATGCACAACTTACACTGTAATCTTGTTCTCACAGTATCAAGAGGGAAAAGTGTAGACATAGCCACAGCAGAACCCTGTGTGAAATGGAAAAAAAAGTAATTAGCGCATATTCAATACCCAGTTTGCATTATCATACTGATCATAAAGATTTGCCTGTTTGCAAAAAAATACAAATGAGAATAAAAAATTACCCAATACCAATCATCCACAAAACATTAATTCTTTGATGGTATGTTTTTATTATAAGTACACTATGACATGTCTTCTGAAATCCATTCTTTTCCCTCATGGATTGCAATTTAGATGTTTACCCTACAGAGTGAGTTCAACCCATTCATTGATATTGGCAGTTATGGTCAAGGTGGTGTTCCCTGCATCGAGAGAGGGAGAGGAGAGAAAGGGAGAGGGAGAGGAGAGGAGAGAGAGAGAGAAGAGAGAGAGAGAAGAGAGAGAGAGAGAGAGAGAGAGAGAGAGAGAGAGAGAGAGAGAGAAGAGAGAGAGAGAGAGAGAGAGAGAGAGAGAAGAGAGAGAGAGAGTGAGAGAGTGAGAGTGAGAGTGAGAGTGAGAGAAGAGAGAGAGAGAGAGAGAGAGAGAGAGAGAGAGAGAGAGAGAGAGAGAGAGAGAGAGAGAGAGAAGAGAGAGAAGAGAGAGAAGAGAAGAGAGAGAGAGAGAAGAGAGAGAGAGAGAGAGAGAGAGAAGAGAGAGAGAGAGAGAGAGAGAGAGGAGAGAGAGAGAGAGAGAGAGAGAAGAGAGAGAGAGGAGAGAGAGAGAGAAAACGAACGAGTGTAGATGAGAGTGAGATGAGAGTGAAGTGAGAGGAGATAGATGAGATAGATGAGAAGTGAGACCCATCCTCTTCTCTCTCTCTTCTAATCTCTCTCTCTCTCCTCCTCTCTCTCTCTCTCTCTCTCTCCGGTCGTACTAATAATTATAAATATAAATATACTATATTACTATAATAGATAATAATGAAAAGTGTTCGACCATAGAAGACAAAGAATAGCTAGCAGTAGCTAGCTCTCTGAAGACAGAGAAGAATCTCTAAGAGCATAAAAGCGGAATTTGTAGTTGGTGTAACCTCTGCTTATAAAGCTAGAAATCTGATAGTGTTATATTTTACCGCATTTACTCACCAAGAATCAGTTAAAGTATATGTGAATGTGCATATGGTGTGTGATGGTGTGTTGTGTCCATTTGTTTTGTTTGTTTGTATGTGTGAGCTAATCATAACAAACAACACGCCTAACACATCCCCCCACCCAACACCCACATCACAACACTACACACACCAAACACACAAACCCACAAACTAAGGAAAAAAAAATCTCAGTATATAAAAAGCTATTAAATGTGTGTAGTAGGAATGTGGTGGTAGTGTGTTGTTTGTTGTTCAGTACCTGTGTGGTGTTCCATCACGAGTTGAAGTCCTAGTCTCGTAAATTCAAGTTATATGTGTGTGTGGAAACATACATACATGCTTACAATAGTAAATTATATAAAATTAGTAAAATTGATAAATTACACTACACTAACTAATCATACTATAAATAACAAAATAACATATAACAACACACACAAACTAACACACATATAAATGAGATATATATATAATATACTAATATATATATATTAATATATATAGTAATATTATATAAATTTAATACTAATAGTATAATATATCATATAATATTATAATATTAAAGACAGATATAATAAAATATACATTAACATATAAAACTACTAAGTATATCATATATATATTTAATATATACATATATATTATAACATATATATATAGTTAATATATTATATATTATATATATACCTTATATATAGTGTGTACATAATATAACACGGATATAATCAATAGAAACCCAAATATAGAATTACTACATCAATCCATACAGTATATAACCTAAATTGTAGTATAATAAATATAATATCACATACAATACTATAATTATATAATGACAAAACAATCTATGAAAATATAATAAATATATATAATTAGATAATGAGTGTGTCGTTATGTAGTGTGTGATTTAATATTAATTATACAATACATATATACATAATGATGCTGTTTTTCATATAAATATGATTATCAATAATATGATAATATGTATAATAATAATATTTAATAAGATATGAGATAACTATAACTGATGTATATATCATATATATAATTAGTGTGTCATGTGTTGTTGTATTGTGTAAATGTCTTAATATATATAAATAATATTAGTTGTGGATGTGTGATTGTGTTAAGTGTTATTAATAATATATACAGTGTGATGTGTGTGTATACAATTCATCGTAATATATGTATAAGAATAATAATATTAATAGTGAGTAAGTATAAATTATAACATAACATAATATATATGTATTATTATATAATCAATAATAATATTATAATAATATCATAATATATATTATTTAAATATTAAAAGTATAAATATATAGATTAATGCATCAATACACACACACATACATAACAACCACACACTATACATATATCATACAATCATCAATACCATCACCACTACACACACACCACCACCTAATACACACACCACAAAACCAGCATCCAACTACTAATACCACATATAGAGTACAACAATAGATGAGTTAATAATAAATAGATATATATTATAATAGAAGAGTTAGAGATAGTTGACGATAGTAAGGAGATAGAGATATAGAATTAAGATAGCGAGATGAATATAGAAGAATGATATATTATAATATTTAGTATAATTAGAAGTAAGTAGTTAAGATAGATATTATAATTGAAATAGTGTACACACACCAGCACACAACCACACACACACACACACCACAGCCAGCACAGAGCACACAGCACACCACCATCAGTACACGAATACACAACACCACAACCACAAAGATGAATATATAGAGGTATATAGAGATGAAGAAGTATATGAATAGAGATATGAATAGAGAATAGAGAAGTAAGATAGATACGTCGTAGATCTATAAACCCAGTACATAAGATATGGTATAATTTTAAAAATAAATATATGAGTGTATGAACTTTAAATAATACACAATATAAGCTTCCAATGAAATATACAAAAACAAACTCTATATATAAGCTTATACATATCTATAAGAACGTAGGAGCAGAAAACAGAAAAGGAAAACAACTGAATTCTTTACTATGGGAAGAGACGAAAATGTTGAATCTTTACATGTATCCATTCTACATACATCTTAAAATAAGGACAACACAACACCGTATTAAAAGCTTTCTCGCATTAGTTTCAACTCGTATATATGTGACTGATTTGAGAATAGTCCAGATAACAAATGATAATCACTAACATTATATCAAAAAAATAAAACTAATATGACAAGAGATATATGTGTGGCATAACAAGGGAAATCCAGACCAATAGATACCTAATTGAATATAATCACACATAGTCATAAAGTGCATTATATGAATAAGAAAAAAAAAAAAGAAAAATCTTAACATTCATCTCAACATTTGTATAACCCACAATAAAGTAAAAAAATAATATATCTGAAGGTAGTGCAGTTATGCAGAAAAGTGGCCTATTAAAAAGAGAGAAAGAGAGAGATTGAGAGAATGAGAGATGAAGTCTTTTCAGTTTAGAGCATCACATTTGCATTACTCAAAGGAAAAAATCATTTAGAAGATGGTGATGTTTGGGTGTGTGTTATAGATATATAATATAGATAATAATAATAGAAATATATAAATATATATATATATAATATATGAATAGATATATTGCAGAGAAAGTGTATAGTCAAAGTATAATAATAAATTCAGTTGAATATAATCATCTATAATAAATAGTATTAATATATATAAACTGCCATTATATTCCAACATAAAGATGTACGATACAATAGATTTTTACCATAAGTAGCTAATTGAAAATTTTACTACAATTAAATATATGCGAGAGCGTGAGTACTAAAGTTTCTTCCATTAAACTTATGCAGTGATGAATCTTATATTCTATTTAATATTAATCCACTACGCACATATATATAAATATATAAAATTACTTTATCATTAATATAAATATATGAAATATATATTCAATCCTCATTAAAACTAGAAAAAAAAAAATCTTTCAGAATGAATATTGTATGTCAGTATCATAATCACTATCATACATTAAGCATTTGAGGATATGATGATTTTATTCTAGTACATAGGAAGGAATTATAAAAGCACTTTTTATCACTGCTGAACAAAGTTTAGATAATGTATTCTATCTTGACAAACAGCTACAAAATATGTACAGCTTAAAGAGCTTGTTAAGTCTAATTATGTTATGATAAAACAATGAAAAAACCATTTTATCTATGTTCTTAAAAACACATTTTTGCTTTCTATCATTTAAAAATCTAGTTATCACCTATTTTATAACAAATCACCATCAATTTCTATATTCATAAATTCATCACAATTTAGTTCAAAAAAAATAGTTAAGAATTACATACACAAAAAATACAAAAGCCTCTCAATTTTGTATCAAAAATTATAGTTATAAAAAGAAGCCATTAAAAAATGAAGCTTCTCTGCAGTTCAAAATACATATTATAAAAACATAAATTACCTCTCAAACAATGCTAAAAAATCCAGCCTGGTGAGAATACATTAGTGAACAAGGACAAAGGCTGCGCGACAATTATCAAGCAACGAGGCAACCAGCGAGACACCGAGGAAAAAGGTTCAACACGAAGACTACCCTAACGTTCACACATCCTACTAACACACCCACTTACAGAACTATACGAGCATCTGAATCCGACTATCTGACCAACACATTCCATCATCATCTGATTTACAGCTACTACACACATAACCACACACACCAGCACTCTCAACACACACCTCCTCTCACCAACAACTCCACACATCCATCACCCCTCACCCTCACAGACTCACACACCTCATCTACTCACACATCCACACACTATCACCACCTAGGCCCAACGTCACACCACATCACCCACACACCTCTCGACTACATCTGGTCTCTCCCAGTCCTTACTCCGCTCGCTCTCTCGCGCGTCTCTCTCATCTCCCTCCTCACCATCAGTGATATATGTGCACTCCAAGTGGTCACGACAATTATCCGTCTCCTCGAAAGCCTCTCTCTATGTCTGGTCTCAGTGTCTATTAAACTCCTTTAATGTTGTCGTAATTATTACTTCGTAGTTAAGATGGCGACCAACAAGGCACCGACTATTTTCTTACATTAATTTGGTCCATGCAGTCCGGAGGATGTGAGGATTGATTTTTTAAAAGTGATCTTATGTTTTGCGTGTATGTTAGTAAGTGTTCTTTTTCAGAATTTTTCACCCAGCTGTTTGATTATGGTTCATTTATGATATAATTTTTGTTAGATCTCATGTTTTTGTATTTTTGCTTTAATTGTCATTCAATTGATATGGAATGATTTCTTATTGTGTGAATGCGTATCTTCCATGATTTGTAAAAATGATAAAGGTGATTCACAATATTGAATCTATATTTGAGCTTCAGAAGAAAGTCTATTGTTAGCATTGTGTAGATTACTAACATAACTGACATGGAAATATTTAAAGGTAATTGAATTGTGTGTCTTATTTTGTGCTATGTGTGTGTGTTAATAATCAAGCTCGTCTATCTTGATGTGAAAATGAGATTTCTGTAGTTAAGTCAGATTCAGCAAAGAATAATTATAATTGAATAACTGGTATAACGGTTCAAAAAAAAGAAGTTCGATTACGCAGTCACATGTAGTGGAAACATCAGAGCTAGAATGTGTAGCGAAATAAGACCAACCGCAAACCCCAAACAAAACCCCAACACCAATACAAAAACCGTGGATTGTCTGGCAACGCACGCCAAAACAAAACCCCCAGACATAGAAAGCCACAAATGAAAAAGGACCAAACACAACGCAAGTGATGCCTGTCCAAACCAGACGGAAAAAGAGAAACACGCAGACTACCAAACAACAAAGCCAAAATACAAAAAAACAGAGGATGGCCAGAAAAATAACAAATAAAGCGACGAAGACGCGCGCGAAGACGAAAACTGTTGATACATGTGATGTATGAAGTAAAACAAAATATCATAAGAAAAAGCCGATAGAGAGATCCACGATTTCTCAACTACATATAACATTAAACATATTTAAACAAAGTAACATGGTGAAGGTTAAGTGTAATGTGATGCATACAATAGTATA